CTCACATACCCGGATATTATGGATCTTACTGCTTTACACTTCCTAGTAAATGCTCCAAGAGTTATTCCTATGGTTGGTGCAGATTGCCAAACCTGGAGACCATCAGGCCTAGTGGGACGCGACTTCTAAATCCTCCAGTGAACATTCCATAGGCTCTTAGTTGGCTTAAGCTGCCAAATCTAGGGGTATGAATACCAAGCAGGACGCAACTCCTGTAAAGTAGCCTTAAATCTCCAAATATGCTTGTAAGGTTCCAGCACTGTTTTAAGTGATCATCCCAAAGTTGCCTAATGGGGTCAACAGGTTTTTCTTTTATAGTCTCATGGACTATAGGAGGAAAAACGACCAATATGAAACTGGGGAATGCACCAAACACAATGTTGGTCATCATAACATCAACCAGACGATCAACATGTTATGACACCTTTTCTGAAGAATACAATCTTAACGCCCGCTGAATCAGCGTGTGAAATGGCTTCGCATGAGAAACAGCACATGACAGGTTATGATGCCAGATACCATATGGAACTATTCAATCGCCTTCACCTGGGATTGAACCAGTATCTTGTGATCTGACCTGTGGAGTGCTAACCACTGCACTATAGACCCACAGGTCTTATTATTATTTAATTTAATAATTTTTTTAAAAATTAATTGTTTTATACTAATATATTATATTTAAAAATTCTAATAATTCAATTCAATTTTAAATTTAATAAATGAGATATATTTAACTATTATTTTTAATAATGTTTTAAACTTTATATAATTTTATATAATTTTATTTAATTCTAATTTCAGAATTATAATTGTATTATAGAATTTATTATAATATAAACTTTAAAAGTTGATAAAAATATTTTTTGTTTTAATTTGTTTTTATCTTATAATTATTAAAAATCAAAGATTTTATTTTTATATAACTTAAATAAATAAAAAAAAAACACTTTTCCATACATAACTTTTTTCTTAAAAATTTCTTTTTTTAGTAATTATCTTTCAAAATTAAAGAAACAAATATTTTTCTTGTCTTTTAACTTCTCAAAGTCCTTCACACATTTTTTATCTTCACTACAAGAACTTTAAGAAAACTAAAGAAGTATACTAGTGTATTGGGATGAAACCTCTGGCCAAAGGAAAGCAAGTTTGAAAACCTTGCTCTTTTTTTGGATTATATGAGGAAAGGCCCATAGCAGTTACTTATTTATAAATCTTTCTTGGGGTTCTTTCCATTTTCACTTCTTACAGATACATATTTCTTATTAAATAAATATATTCTTTTCTTGAAGATTTTTTTTGCAAACCAAAAAATCAAACCATACATTAAAAATGTTTATATTGTTGACTTGGAGGACCAGCAATATATTCATTGTTTACTTTTTACTATTGTCTGGTATAATTTGCTGCACCATAAAAACTACAAAACTTTTTTTCAAAAAAATTTTCATAAAAAAACCATAATCAGTTTACTTCTGTTAATTAATTAATATTTCAAAACTAACCAATTAAATACTACCAATTATTCAAACAAATATGTACTACCAAAATACCACACACTAATCAATATAAACAAAACCTTTTTTAACAATAAAATTAAAACAAAATCATATTAATAACAAATAAATCAATCATACTATCAATAAACAAACCAATCACTAGTTGTATTAACAAAACAACAACACAATTATTACAACAAATCAACTACCAAAAAAATATATTATCAACACTACTGTATACTTTGGACTATACATGTTGCTGAAATTTATAGATCCTTGACGCAATTGACGCAATTATTTGACACAATTAATTGAGTCACTATTAAAATATATAAATAATTGAATTATGACACAATTATTTTTAAGGATTTTGGGAATTGAGTCAACAGCAAAATAATTTACACCATATGTATACTTTGGACAGTAGCTTGGCCATTTGTAATAGGTGCATATATATCATATCTCTATTAAATAGAATTACCAATGTAGTATACTTATTTGAAGTATCCTTAGCTTTATAATTAATCTTTTTGCATCTATTTCTTTGTTTAGTATTTCATTTCATTTTTATTTCTTATGGTCTTTTTACATATAAATCTGAGTAAGTATTTATAACTGCCCAGTACTATCTTTGACAATGTATTGATTTTAATATTTCTTTTCCTTTGCAACTTAGATAGTTTACTGTAAGCAAGCTAGCATTAAACTTACTGATCAATTGATCATATAAGAGATGTTATTACTTTTTTCATATATAAATTTTTCAATTTTACAATTATAATAAGCAATGATGTTTACCTATAAAAAAATAAAATAATAACTTAAATAAATTTGAATATATGTTAAATATTTAAATTTAATATATATACAAAAACCAATAAATCTAATATAAAAAATTAAATTATATAATTTTATTTTTTATAGAAAATTAAATAGTTTTCCAATTATAAGTATCAAATTAAATAATAATTAAGATTAGTTTTTGTTTTATCAGTACAAATTTTTTTTTTTTTTTAATTTCTTAAAAAAAAAAATTTTTTTATCTCTATAGGATTACAGTAGTAATGTAAAGATGACAAATTTAAATAAGAGCTAACTGTAATATTTTAAACTAGTAGAAGTATTAGAATAAAATTGAATAAAATTTTTATTTCCTATTATTACATTTAGAGAATTTAAGCTTATACCAAATATACTATATAGCAATACAATAGTTTAACTTTATTATAATATTTTTAATACAAATATATAAATGGATTTTAATAAATAAGATTAATAAACCAAACAATATACAACCTGATTTGAAGTTAAAAAATAAATAAATAAATAAGAAATAAATCTTTTTATTTTTAAGATATAAGTTGGTATATCTGGTTAAATTGCACTGCATTAATTAATATTAACAATAGTTAATAGACTGTTTATATACAGATATAATATTCAAAATAATTAATAAAATCTATACATATAGTATAATTAGTATTAAAAAAAAAAATAAATAAATTTTTATTTTATTTTTTTTAAAAATTAAAAGTAGTTACAAGATTCAAGTTATATTTTAATTTAATAACAAATTAAAATAACAATATTTATTTTAAAAATAATTAAAAAAAAATCTTAAAACTATTTATTAATTAAGTAAAATAATAAATTTAAAAAATATGGCTTAAAGAGAAATTAACAATTGAAAATCAATATCTTTTTTAATTGGAATCTTTAAATGTAAAGTTTTTAAAAATATTTTTTAAAGTACCTACTTTTAAATGCTTTTAAATATTAACTGCTTCAATGGAAATCAAACAATTTAATTATTACAAGTAATAAAAAATAAGTATATTAACAATTATAAAATGTTTGAATTTTGTTTATTAAAATAATTTTTTTAATAATCTTTTTTTTTTTATATAATTTTTATAAGAAAAAAATAATTTATAATTATAACTATAAAAGTGATCTATAGATTTTGATGTTATTGAAATCACTTTTATAAATTATATTTTAAGGCTTTGGTTATTGATAAATAAGCTGGGTTAAGAAGATTTATATTTTGCATATATATTTTCTTACTTGTAATGGTTTTTTTATAATTAAATAAATTATTTACAGTAAATTTTTTTTATGAAAGGTTAATAATCAATTGGTCGTAATCATCAAACTTTATCAAATAACTTTAATCAGAAAATTTCGCATGAATAGCGTGTAAACATCTAGCTATTGGATTGTATCCCCGTGAACATAAATTAACTAGCCATTTTGGGTAATTTACCATCCTGATGTCGACAAATCACATGACAATACCTGTAGCAACATAATAGTATTTATTTTCGGATCAAAACACGTTCTTTCCCCTAGAACGAGTATGTCTGGATCAACTGCGGAAACCGGCTTAGAAACCCCGAGTTCAAATCAAAGAACTCCAGAGGAAGTTAAAGAAGAAAAACGACTTATTCTGGAACAGGTTGAATACTACTTTGGAGATAAAAATTATCCCAAGGATCGATTTCTTAAAGAACTAAGTGGAAAAGATCCCCAAGGCTGTATCCTTTGTGTTTTTTTTAAGATTTAATCACGTTGGTGGAATTTTTTAATGAATGTTCTTGACTAAAAGATGTTTTACGACGAACAGGGGTTCCCATCGCCATAATTCATCAGTTCCGTAAGATGCAAGTTTATAAGGATGATGGTTTAATTGTTGAGGCTTTGCGAGAATCTCCGGAATTGTTGGAAGTAGATGAGTCGGGTACAAAAGTTCGTCGAAAGGCAGAGATATTACTACCAATTCCTGATCATGTTAAATCAACGCCTATGTGGAGTTCGATTTATGCGGTAATAAGATTTATCGTTACTTTTATTTCGGTTAGATAAAAACTAAATGGGGTTATTGTAAATTTAGAAAGGGTTTCCAAAGGATTCTAAACGTAACATAAGGAATGAAGCTTTCATCTTTTTTCAAAGATACGGGAGGGTTATAAAAGTTCACGAACGCCTGGATGATCAAAATAAATTTAAAGTAACGTTGTTATTAGCTGCTAAGTTTATTTGACATTTTTAGGTTTTGATTAAATTATTTATTTTTAGGGGTCGTTCTTTGTTCAATTCCACAATCACGAAACCGCAAAGAAAGTTTCAGAAATGAAGTTAGAGTTTGAGGAATCACCAATTAAGATGATGATGAAGTAATTACCACCACTCTTGACAAATTTTCTTTCATGTTCTCCAATCCAATGTTTATTATTCACCACAAATGATATACTAGGTTTGACTATTGCGAGATGAAGTGCAAAGAAAAAGGAATGGATCCTAACACGATGCGTAAGCAAGGACAAGGGCAAGGACAAGGACAAAAAAAAAAAAAAAATGGAGCCGCACAAAAAGATCTCAAATTTAAAAAAGGATGCTTGTTGAAGTTTGAAGGAGCGGGTCCAGCCGAAACCTGGGAAACCATTCGAGTGTGTTATTATTCAAATATCTCAAAATGACCATAGTCGTGTTAATTAATCGTAAATTCAATTCTCTACATAGAAAAAGGTGGATGATGAGTATGGAAAAGTTATATTTGTTTCTTATAATTCAGTTGAGAAGAAAGGCATTATTCATTTTAAAGAAGCAATTGCTGAAAACGTGGCGACAAAGATTTCTAATGGCACTTTGGAGTTTGACGGGATTAAGCCAAGTGTATCAGTGGTTGAAGGTTGGTTTATAATATCATCATTAATGTTTAGCATAACATTTAGGTTTAACTTCGAATATAATATCATACGTAGGTCAGGAAGAGACGAATTATTACCAAAGAAAGAAGGATCATAACAAACCAAACAAACGTAATGGATCAAAGGGTGGAAACTCTCGGTCAAATGGTAAAAAGAATAAGAAGGATTCAACCAAAAATGTGGTCACCGCAGCTGAAAGTGAACGTAAGACAGACGAAAATGCCGATTCATCGAATAATGCTAAGTCCGATCTTGAGGAAAAAGTTGATCTAGATTCAAGCATAGATGCTACTAGTTCTGTATCTGAAGCTGGAAGCAAACGTAAGCTAGGTAAAGACACTAATCTGGATGATTCTCCCAAAGCGACAAAGATCATTAAGCAGAATCCAGATGCGACGGTTGAAAGTTCAGATCAAGATACACTTGCTAGTTCTGTGTCCGCAGGAAGTAAACGAAAGTTAGAGGACAGCACTGATCCGGATGATTCTTCTAAAGAAACCAAGGCCATAAAGTTAGAATCGGTTGAAGATTCAAATTCGTAGCTTGATTTAGTAAGATTTAGTAAATAGTTTTATCGGATTTACGAAAAAAGTTGATTATACGAATGGACACGTCATAATTACTAATCAAAAACACATTTGTAACGAAATGCTTATCAATTCATAAATAAAAAAATTATATCTTTTGACGTCTGATTTATTTTATCGTAAAAATTATTTCTTCCAAAAATAAAAGTATTTCATTTTTTGAATGACATTAAGATTGTGTAGTAAGAATACACAATTGAGTAAAGTCGTTTTCTACTATTATTAATATTTTAGAAATGATTTTAAATACTGCTATTGCGTTTCTTCGTTTGAAGGGTTACCATCAGAACCTAAAGAAAAAAAAAATAAATAAATAGATAAGATGCACGTTTTATATGCCGGAATACAAAGATGTTTTTGCAACAGTTACCTCGATTGTTTGCGAATTGACGTGCCCTTTTAAAAGAATGAATGAGTGCGTGTTAATGATAAATAATCATGATAAAATAGTTTAATATGAAAAATTTGTCATACAAGTTCACTAACTCCGGATTATTCATGAGTTCATCAACATTAGGCGGATTCCCTCCACGCATCATATTTTGC